AAGAGATAGGAAGATATAGGAAGGAAGAGATAGGAAGAGATAGGAAGAGATAAGAAGAGAGAGGAAGAGAGAGGAAGAGATAGGAAGAGAGTGGAAGAGATAGGAAGAGAGAGGAAGAGATTGGAAGAGATTGGAAGAGATTGGAAGCAAGAGGAAGAGAGAGGAAGAGAGAGGAAGAGATTGGAAGCAAGAGGAAGAGAGAGGAGGCTGAACAAACTGTGCAGAACGTGAGGGGAGACGATGGGAGGTTTATTGGAGGACCTGTCAGAGAGGATCAGGAAGGGAGGGGTCAAGCTGCAGTCTCATACCTGTGCAGGAGAATGAACAAGTCTTCCTGATCACTGAAGCTCATCGCTGAAGAGACAGATGTCATCGCAACTATTGCGCGGGATCTCCGATGCAAAGAACAGGATTGCCGAACAGGCCAAGCTGCGGCAGCTCAAGATACTGGAGCAGACAGAGAACGTGTCTGAGTACATCAAAATCATCAGTCTGCTCTACCGGGGGCTGGCGTTCGTCGTGAGCATAGAGAGCTTGTTCATGTCGCTCATCACAATCCTGGGCATCTTCATGGTTTCTAGGAAGGTTTTCAATGTGACTTTCACTGTTGAGTTCGCCATTTTCTCGGCTGGTTGCATTTTCCCGATGACCTTTAACGTTGGAGCATCATTCAAGAGGAAAGAGAAGGCGCTGGAGCTTCTTGCCACCATCAAGAGCAATCTCATCAGCTTGTTCCTCATGTTCGTTCACTTTGACGTCGAAGGAAAAGGCGAAGCTTCTCGAGACGTGCTTCCGAATTTCAGGTTGCGACAAACCTTCACTGCCACCGCCGCCACTTCCATCTCCACCAACACCTCCACCGACACCTCCACCACCACCACCCTTCCCCATCCTTTTCCCTTCCCTTCCTCCTCCCTTCCCCCACCCGTCGCCTTCTCCTACTTCCCCTGTTCGACCTCGCCTTCCTCTTCTCATCTGAATCCTCCGCAGGAACCTCGTGAGAAACATCGAGGTCTGCCTAAGGAACAGTAAGGAGGTCCAGTACACAACGCCCGTCAACTTCGACGGGGAGGTGTCTGGCGATCGATCGGCTGCTCACTTAGTCTACGACGACCTTGCCATAATTGCAGCAAAGTTGCAGGTCACCTCCCCCTCTACACGTTCCCCTTCCTCCGCCCGCCTCCGCGCATTCTTCCTCGCCCTTCTATGTTTGCCATCTCAGCCATCTCCTTTCCCTTTCGCTCTTCACAGAGATCTCACTCATCACAGAAACATTCGTTTGGTTGCTTCGGTTATGATTACAACGACAAGGCGGTGGGTACTGCGACGCAGAGGTCATGGCAGTTCATACAAGACTTGACAGTGGCGTTCGAAGAGGTCAAGCTTCCTTCTTTTGCCTTGTGATCTAATCAGAGCCAACAGGTCCGGGCTATTCGATTCAGCTCAACCTCCGTCGGTCTCCGTCTTTTCTCCTACTTCCTCATCAACGTATCTTGCGGTAGCTCCTCAGACCATCTCTGCTTTCTCCCCAGGACTGACCTCCTCTCTCTCTCTCTCTCTCTCTCAGTCGCGCTCTCACCTTACTGGGCATCGTTTTGTCGCCAAGAGCACTTTGTTGGAGGAGGAAAGGTAACTGACCCTAACATGGTTGCTCGCTTCCTCCCCTCCATCATCTCTTGTGCCATCCTTGCGCTCTACACCTGCCTCCCCCTTTCCCTCGTCTCACTCATGTTGAAGGGCCTAGAGGACGAGCTCGGCCTCGGCCCTGCTCGAGGAAGCACGTTCAGCCCGATTCAGAACGGTGATCACTGGGAGGTGACATGGAGGCGGAAGGATGATCAAGTGGGCAGGAGAGGCGACGTCCGGGTACGGGTGCGCCTCGGCGTACTTAGTGGGCCTGCTGTTTACCTTCATTGTCTTTGCCCTATATCGGTAACATGATACCTTGACTTGTTGTCCTTGTGCTGGGCTAGAGCTCGAAACGACCGTTGAATGCTGCGGATACCCTCCTGCCCGTCCTGCTCCTCCAAGCAGCATCTTAGAAAACTTTTTCTGCTCTCTTCCCCTCAGCATCTTCCTGATCTTCATCGTTGACGGCTTCCTGGCAGCGTTCAGCGAGACCTGGAGGACCCATTCTCAGGGAGCAGCGACGACTCGATCAGGTGAGGATCAAGTTTGCGGGCACGTATCTCACTCGCTTCAGGTGGGACAGGTGGAAGCAGCAGCTGGAGACGCTGGGCAAGCATGGTAGGCCAGGGTTGCAGGGAAGGGAGTGGGTGAAAAGTTTGTGCAGGCGTCGACGGGCCAACCAGGAGGGCCACCATGGCCCAGCAAGAGGCTCAGCAGGGAGAGGAGAGATGAATGGAGGAGCCCACAGTCTTTCCTGTCTTCTCATCCTGTACTAGTAGCAATTCTCCATCTTTTGTCCCCCCCCCTTCCCCCTCCTCTTCCCCCTGCCTTTCTTCCTCCTCGTTTCTCAAGCTCGAATATTGTAAGATGTTAAAACTGCTCGATTGCTTTGCCTCTCGCTGCTCCAGCGCAACTGCTACATCAGACAAGTCTAGGGTAACAACGCGACAAACAATGTGAACAAATAAATCTACAATGACCTACTAATATTTCAACTGCAGTCTTGGCACCTCTCAAACAACAAGCTCCGATCTTACCACATCAACGCTCACAGCTGACGTCAGCATTGAGTCTCGAAGACAAGGTAGTGCGAGGTCATCCCAAGCTTCCTGTACACTTCCTGAGCCCTCAAGTTCTGACTGTCAGCATAGAGCCGAACGGCTGCTGCCCCTGCTGCTCTTCCCTCCGTCACCACATGCTTGAACAGCTTGCTAAAGTGCCCCTTCCTCCTGTATGACGGATGAGTATATACCGACTGTATCCACCAATAGTTGCTGTTCCTCCAATCACTCCACTCGAAGGTGATGAGGAGGCATGAGACAACCTGCCCTTCCTCTTCGATCACGTAGTACCTGCCCTTGGCTGCGTCCAACATGACTGCCTGCACCCCTTTTATCACTACACCCCGATCAAGCTGTAAGCCCTCCGTTTCTTCTGCCATCGCACAGTTGAAGTTCGCGATGGTCTCCACGTCCTCCATCTTCCCTTGTCTCAGATTGGCTCCACCGTCCTTTGTCATGATGTGCCTGATTCTTCTGAACCTGACAACATCTGTCACGTCTTCGAACTTATAACGTTCCTTATCCTCGTCCTCCTTCCACCGTCTTCACTCCCTCCCCTCCCCTCCCCATCCTAGCACTTGACCCTACCACGAAAATCTTGCTCCCTACCAAACTCGTCTCATCTCTCCTCCTTCTCGTCTCATCTTCCCTCCTCCCTCCTCCCTCCTCCCACTCCAATGCATATTTTGTTGGAATTTTTTCAAGTCAACGTCTATAACGTATGTAACGCATGTAACGCCTGCACATGCTGTGAACGGTGGGTCCTTTGGAGGTGCAGGGAACTAAAGCTTGAAAGTACGGGTGCTTTTGAGTGCAAAAATCATCAATGGAGTAGGGTAGGTACAAAATGTATGTGTAAAGGCCCGGGTGGGTTGTGGCCTCATAAAGGAGCTCTATGGCGGAGATCGTGATCGGAGTGCTTGCGTTGCAGGTGAGGAGGAGGAGGAGGAGGAAGAGGAGGAGGGAAGGCGACAGGAGGAGAAGGGGACAAGGAGAGAAGGGATGATGTTGCGGAGGGAGGAGAGGAGGAGACGATGATGAAGAAGAACACAAGATGGATGTTCAGAGATGGGAAAATTGTTGATCAGCATGAAGTCTTGTGAAGTTCTCAGAAGTTAAGCTGTGCGAGGCTGGATTTGTTGGATTTCCAGGAAAAGCCAAATGAAGGAGAGCAGTATTCTTGTTTGGGTGGTTCGAGTTATACGAGGAGAAAGAAATATGCTTTCTCGCCCTATTTTGCACCATTCGTTGGAAGAGGTCGGATATTGATGGTGGAAGAGGAGGGAGATATGCGAAGAACATGTTCTGCAAGCTCAATCTTGTGAACGTTCAAAGACTTTGGTCGCTCTTTCACACTCAACAGCTCAAGAATAGCTCCTGAAGCGCACTTGACTTTGCTCGAATTTCCTGCAGGGTGATTTTGCGGAGCACATAGCTACTCTGAAGAAGTGCGGGGACGTCAAGTGCCGTGAAGTTAGGAAGCTGCAGGTGATGCACAAGGTCTTGAGAGAGGGAGGAGACTGACATGGGGAACGAGGACTTGGAGGGCACACACGGGCTGGTGATCCCCGGGGGGGAGAGCACCGTCATCTTGAAGCTGCTGCGAGACTTCAAGTTGTTCGAGCATGTCAAGGCCTATGGGTCATCGGTGATGGCAGATGCGCATACTTGAGAGCTTCATGACATGCGCTGTAGGGGATCCCCATGTTCGGGACGTGCGCTGGTTGCATCATGCTGTCTTCTAGCATCGACGGAATGCCAGAGCAGGAGACGCTGAGACTGGGCGACTATTCTGTGAAGAGGTAGAAGAGCAGGAGCAAGATGCATACGATGATGGGCGAGCAGGAACGCATACGGCGCGCAGGTCCACAGCTTCGAGTCGCACATCAAGGGGGACCCTGCCATCTTCGGGGAGGAGCCGTTGAGAGCGATCCTGATTCGAGCTCCTATGATCACAAAGGTGTGTAGCCTCGTGATGCAGGCAGAACAGTTGAGGTGAGTGAGTTGCAGTGCGGTCCAAACTTCAAGATCTTGGCCGAGCACGAGGGCCATCCTGTTCTTGTCCAGCAGGTAACTGCTCGCAGTAGTACGATTCTCCCCTCCTACTGCTTCTTGTTCTCTTCCTTCTTGTCCACCTCCACCACCACTACCACTACCACTACCACTACCACTACCACCACCTCTTCCTCCTCCTCCCTCCTCCGTATCATCCCCTCAACTACCACATCCCAATGATTCCCATATGTGGTTGTCGAGCCCTCACAGACTTCCCAGGACAACATCCTCTCCTGCACTTTCCACCCCGAGATCACGGGCGACGCCAGGATCCACAAGTACTTCGTAGAGTTAGTGAAGCAGAAGCAGATGGCGTATAAGTCATGAAGGCCCTCCAAGTAAACGTCCTTTAGTGCTACTACTGAGCTGCTTCCTCTTGCGAACTAAGTTGAATCTGCCTTACTCGCAGAGCAGTGCTGAACTCGGAACCCGGCTGCAGTGCCGGGCGCCGCCGGGCCGCGGGAAACTGATCGATGCAGCCGTTCGAACTGCCCTGACTAGCTGACTCTGTGAGCGGCCCTCTCACCGGGTAAGTTGGGTTAGTAACCGGCGGGCCGCGCGGCCGGCGCCACGGTGATCGGACGGTCGCCCGGCCGTGGCTGAAGTTCCGGGCCGGGGCGACTGTCGGGCGGCAGCCTAGCCTGCCGCAACGGTTCCGAAGTTACCGGACGGTGAACTTCGCAGGCACGCGGCCGCCGGGCCGGCGGCCACCGTCACCGTGCCGGCCCGAGCCCGAGCGAGAGTCGGACCCGCCGGGCGGCCGCCCGGGGACCACCCGGCCGCGGCCGGGCCCGGCCGCCGGCCGGGGCCGTTCCTAAGTTCCGGGGTACTTGATGGAACGTATGCCAGCCGTGCCAGTCAGATAGCGCCGAGTTAACAAAACTCTCCTGTAAACCAAGATGACTTACGTGGCGAGGCGGCATGTAGTACATGGGATGAAGAGGGGCCTTTCCTAGCCGTCTTGCTAAGGTTCCCTCATGTCTGGATGCTGGGGTTTCACATCCTAGCATACAGTCTATCTCTCATGTGCTCCTCAATTCTGGTTTTGTGTACATTAAACTCGGTCTTGAGCAAAAACTGTCTTGTTACAACTAGGTCGATGTGACGTCTGCGTGCCAGGCTTTGGACTAGTACAAGTCTAACAAACTTGTATTACGTCGGTTATGAGCCTCGATTACATGCTCAATCATGTTGATCTTATATTTGGTTAGTTGAATTGTTTACTGAAGTTTTTTCTTTCTTGGTATTGTTTTCCGTTACTGTTGAAAATTCATGCAACTTTCTATCAAGCCTTACACATTCGGATGACTCTTCTCTTCAATCAGGCTCTCTCTCTAGCCGCAAGTTGCTTAGGCCTCTCATCCCAGCCTCAATTTGTTTGATTGATCTTCGAATAGGAAAAACAAGCCTTTCCCCAGCCAGATTGGTCGGTCGAATATCTGCTTAACCGTGTGGAAACGCACTTGAAGCTGATTCGATTCTTATTTTCTTGATCTTTGAGTAGGATCACATGGAACTACCAGGAGATCTGGCGGAAGTTTCATGTCATGGAGCTAGGCTGTGGCATGCATAACTGGAGCTACTTCTGGATCGGCGAACAAGGTACAACTGCAAATTATCTTCAGATGCCTTGAAACGGATGTTCCAATCTCGCGGCAGCAATCTCTGGTCACAAGTTCTTTACGGTTCAAAATTTAATTTACCGTACCGGCACGATCATCGGACTGAACTAGTACCGTACGGCTGAGAACCCGGCCCGCCGGACTCGGGACTCCGAGCCCGGGAGGCCGCCGGACGAACCAAACCTAATCCTGCCGACTGCTGTCCCCCAAACTGAGATGTGCGGCGCGGCCCACCGTAGCACCGCTTTAGTAGTGCCCGGTGACATTGATCGAGGGGTAGGGGGTAGGTGGATCACCAGGGTGGTTTACTGTCACTGATAGAAGGCACCGGGTGGGTGGGCCGGTAGGGTGGGCCGGTGAAAGGTGAAGACAAAAGGTCCATAAGACGTAGGTAGACGCAGTCGGATAGGGCGAAGGAGGGGTGGTTTGTAGAGAGTTTGAGAGGGGCTTGTAGGTAGGTAGCAAGGGTCGTAGAAACGAGTGGGTGGGGGTACGTACAATGTACCCAAAGAGCAATAAAGAGGGGTAGGAGTGGGTAGTCACCGAGGGACTGGGAGTAAAAGTGGGGGTGGGGGTACCCATAGAGAGGGTGGTGAGAGTGGAATGACGTTTTTTTTCGATGGAGAATAGAGGGACGGAGGAGTGAGGAATGGCGGGGTAGCAGAGGAGGAGGAAGAGGAGGAGGAAGAGGAAGAGGAAGAGGAGGAGGAGGAGGAGGAGGAGGAGGAGGAGGAGGAGGAGGAGGAGGTGGTGGTGGTGGTGGTGGTGGTGGTGGTGGTGGTGGAGTGGCAGCCCCGGAACGAGCGGGGGTAGGAGGGGGTTAGGAGGGAACTGGATGAGTCATATATATGGATGAGCCTCAGAACTTCGGAAACGGAGGAGTGGGAGAGGATGGGGGGGGCTGAACTCTGAACTTCTGAAAGGAAAACAAAGAAGATAGCAAGCTAATGACTAGGAGCAGTGGGTGGGAGAGCAATATCAAGAAAGAGGGGGAAGGGAACATTTAGTAGACCGAGAGAAGGAAGGCCAGAGGAGAAGGTGGAAGCAGTAAAGCAGGGGAAACGAGTGGATCGGAAAGTGCAGAGGAGAAGGCCGAATAGATGTTGATCTCTAAGAGCAGGTAACTGATTATTCTGCTCCTATACCAGGGATACACCAGAGCAGAACCTCGGACAGCATCGTATATTGTCAGGGGATAGCCATCGAACCGGAGCAATGAATCCATCACAACCTGGCTGTATGGCTCCTTGCCCTTGCGCGACCTGGATGGAGGACGATTGAGGTACAGGTTTTCTCAAGCGTACAGGAGGCGAGCTATCGACTGGAGAGAGACAGTCCGGTCATCATCAGCAAACACTTCCTCGGTTCTGCACAGCATGTCGAGAACACCTGCAGGGGGTGCAGGAGGAGATGAAGAGATCGGCCTGTGCTCGACCTGCCAGACAGCCTGCTCATGGTGCTACAATGCCTTGTTCAAAGGGCCTGTGGCAGATCCGAAAGCCAACGGCTCGACATTCCACGACCTCAAGTCGAACGTACCGGAGCCCTTGAGCATGTCGGACGACCGTGACAAGGCAGAGATCCTGATGTGAGTGCGGGGACGAGGGCGCGAGAGGCTGCATCGCATTCAGATAGACTTTGACGTTTTTGTTTGGTGAAGGAACGAGTCAGGGCTGACAGTCGGGGATCGAGTGCGGCTTATAGGGTGGAGGCCCATCGCCGACGACGTGGGAAACGTGGATTTTGTCAATGAAATTTCAGAGCCTGTGGGAACGATCTTGAAGTTCCTCATGAGCAAGTCCGGGCCGCTCGTGAGCGTCAAGTTGGACCTGAACGAGATAACGGTCAAGGTATCTCAGCAGCTCGCCGGCCCGATGCTGCTCCCCCCTGTTGTCGGACTTTGTGTGCTCTGCTGGTTGTTTGTGGCTGCTGAGTGCTGGGGTCACCGGGGGCGGGGGCTGCAGCAGCGGAATGAGGTGTGCCTTGCCAGGTTGGGAGGGAATATGTTGAGAAGATTGAAAAGGTACAAGAGGTATGAGTGTGCGACATGCTCTCTTGCGAGGGCCAGTGAGGAGAGGAAATGACAGGCTGAGAGACCTGATAACATTTCATCCAACAATGCCGGCAACGTCGCTGAGAAGTGGAGGAGGAGGCTTCCAGTGAGAAACCAGCCTCGAACTGGGTTGCCCTGAAGCGTGCTTGTAGAACAACTCGATGCCGCGGCACCTCCAAACTCCAGCAGAGGAAGAGGAGGAGAAGGTAAGTTGATACCTCAAGTTTTCTTTGTCGTCATACACGGGATCAGGCGGCAAATGATCAGCATGACTCGAAAGGAAATCGGAACAGCTTCCCTCGGTCCAAGAGCAACGTCAACGTACACCTGCCATGATCCTCTGCTCGGCCTTGACTCTCTGCATCCAGAGCGCCTTCTCGAGAGACATGAACTTCCGGACGGAGTCTGCAGAGAGTTCGAGGGTGAGGACAGACTTGCGTTGCGTTGTGTTCCTCCTTGTCATTGTGTCCCTTGCGCTCGTGCATCGACCAACGTGCTGCAGAATGCAGACAACGGAAATCACAAGCCGTCATCGTCCGAGAAGAAGAAGAAAGAGCGACAAGAGGTCAGGAACAGTGACGAGTTCGATGTTGTCAACACTGAGAGCTCTTAGAACCCTGCATTTGACGCGAGTGGTCCGAACAAGGTGACCGAGGCTGTTGACCCCGATCTTCCCTTCTTCTTAGGTTTGTGCAGGGGGTTAACCAGCCGGACAGCGAGGCGTTCTGGGAGCGAGAGGACGGAAAGGTTGAGATGTCAAGTTGCGGAGGGGTGAAGGTGAAAACTTGACAGAAACGACATTCGCCGAACAGTCCCCACAACGCCAAGAACATGTTCAAGGTGAGAGAAGTGAGGTCAGAGTAAGCAGGATGAACAACAAAAACGGAGGATGGGAGGGAGGGCAGGAGGAAGAGAGCAGGAGGCCCAGAGTCAGAGGGGATGACAGGGGTCATGGTGGTCAAACAGACTAAGAGGCTGATGATACAGTCTCGTTCTCTCATAAGAGTTTCTCAGGACGAAGACTCTGACTTGTCCGACGATGTGTTCGACAAGACGTCCAGCGACAAGTCCGGGCGCCATCGCCATCGCCATCGCCACCGTCACCGCCATGAGGAGCAGGAGAAGAAGCACACAAGGCCGCACGTCGGTAGGACTGAAATCCCCCTGATGGATCCTGCTACTGTCTGTACCTTCGTGTGTCTCCCTTCCTCCTCCCTCCTCCCTCCCTCCACCAAACACTCCTTCCTCCTCTGTCTCCTTCATGTCGCTTCTCCCTCCCCCTCCTCCACTGTCTCCACATCTCGCTCCTTCTTCCTTTCTCCTTCCTTTTTCATCTTGCATCTCCTCTACCCCTCGCTTCCTCCTCCCATGCTCGAGCTGGATCTGCTGACTTGGACGGGGGCCTGCAGGAAGGACTCACAGCGCGGACGAGTACGAAGGTAGAGGCCCTTGTCTGCTCGTGCCGAGAGCTGCTGACGCAAGAGAAGGTCGGAAGCAAGACAAGCGGGAGAAAGACAAAGAGAAAGACAGGGAAAGGGAAAGAGAACGGGAAAGGGACAAGGAAGGCTCTTCACGGAGATCCAAGGAATTTCATGCTCATGGCGCGAAAGGAAAGTTTTCCTGCCCTCCGCTCCTGCGTCTGATGGGTTGATTGCAGAAAGCTCCGACGAGCAGGCGGATAATCGCCATAGAGAGAGAAGAGACAGTGTGGAGGAAGTCGTGGAAGGTGGCTCTACTCCTGCCCCTGCCCCTGCTCCTGCACCTCATCTTCGTCCTCCTCGCTTTCCTTCTTTTGCCTTCTTCCTGTTGCCGTGGCCTCATACTCCTCCTTGTTATGCCCTGATTCTTTGTTTCTGCTTCTGCTCCTCTTCTGCTGTATCACCGACCACAACACTTGTCTTCCTAGGTGTTGATTACTTCACAATCCTGGGCGTCAAGATCGAGAGCACTGGTACGACAACTCTGAACTTCTCAAGATGTATGACTGGAACGTGTGTTAGATGATGAAGTCAAGAAGGCATATCGCAAGCTCGCTCTCAAATTCCATCCTGACAAGAATGCGGTGAGTCTTGATTATTGTCCCTGTCTTATCCAGTGTCTTTCTATCACCATCCTCTGCCAGCTTGCTCTGCTCTGCTCTGCTCTGCTCTGCTCTGCTCTGCTCTGCTCTGCTCTGCTCTGCTCTGCTCTGCTCTGCTCTGCTCTGCTCTGCTCTGCTCTTGCTCTTGCTCTGGCTCTGGCTCTGCTCTGCTCTGCCCCTCCTCCTACCGCACACTCATATCGATGCAGGGAGATCCTACAGCAGCAGAGAAATTCGCGCTCATCAACGAGGCCTACCGCGTGCTGTCAGACCCAACACTGCGCAACGAGTATATGTCATGATCAGTCAAATATCTTTCTTCCGCTCGTCATGACAAGAAACTTCATCCTGAAAAGATCGCGCGTCTCAACGATGATGGTACATCCCTGCAACAAACAGTCCGCCTTGTCTCTCTTCATTGATGATACAATAATTACAACAAAACCTCGTCAATTCCCCAACGTCTCATGCGCATATCGAATCTTATCAAGACCTGAGCTCTCCTTTGCCTGAGACACCGCTTTCTGAGCCGCCTGCATCCCCGTCAGCGGCAACTTCAGCCGCCCACAGCGACTTGCCTGCATGTCCGTCATCCTCCTCTCCAGGTCCAGCGTGATCTGCTCCTGCGTCTTCGCTTCACTTCCTCTCCCTCCATCCTCAAGTTCTCCTACCGATCCTCGCATGAAAGTCACCTTTGCCCGAGAGCCGTGAGGGCCCAGCAGCTTGCTCGCCACCAGGTTCAGAGGAGCCTTGTACACAGTGAAGCCATCGACCTGTCATGCTTCAACCCTCCTTCTCTCCCCTCCACCACCTTCACTGATTCCTCCTCGTTACCCTCCACCACTTTCCTCACTTTACCCCAACCTTCTCCCGCCGTCATGCCCGCTCCGCCCTTGTCCTCCCTCCTCCCATAATCTCACCGCATAGAGGATGTCGCCAGGTTTCAGCTTGCCCTGCTGTGCTGCATCGCCGCACGAGCTACCAGGCACCTGGCAGTGTGGGGTCAGAGCGCGAGGGCACAAGTGCCGTGCATCACAGCCGTGTTGAAGAACACAGCCCCCGACGCGTCCACTCCGAAGACTGCTCCGATCCCTGTGCATGCGTCAGCTCCCACAAGCTCTCCAGACTCTCTTATCGCTATCGTCCTTGAGTAAGATGCTAGGAATGGTCGCTACTGGGATCGACATATGGAAGGCAAGTTAACAACACGCTCATCTCACCTGCTGAGTGAGTCTTGGGGGTAGAAGAGCTCTTGGCGAGCATCTTCTTCTCGTGACCGCCACTACATGACAGGTTAGACCGGCACGCAGGTGTCTTTGTTACATTCAGTTCTTCTCCCCACAAACCTCCAATCCCAACTTCACGGTATCAAATCCCTCTCCTCCCCTCATCTCATCCCACCTCCTCGTACTCCTCCCCTCTACCTCGCTCCTTCTTTGCATATTACCTCCTTTCCTCTTCATCTCCTCCTCCCTCTGACCCTCTCCTCCCTCGTTTGCTCTGAGGAACGGATCGTTCATAACCACTTTCCCATTCCGTCACCAGCAAACTCCAGCCATAATGCACGATCTCTTCCTTCTTGGCTTCGCACTGCATGATCGCTTCTCTCTCTTCACTTCGCATGCTCTCCGTCTCTCTCCTCACCTGCACATGTCCATGCATCCCTCGCGCGACGCCTCGTTCCCCATGCATAACCTGCGCCCGTCGGCAACTGCAGCAGATATATCACAGGGCACAATACAAGTTTGTTTCCGATACAACCCTCTACCCCCTTTTTGACCTTTCATATCACCGGTACTATCCATGAGCTTTATATAGAATCTCCTACAGATCAAAATAGTTTATTGGTTGAGTATTGCTGCGGCCCCTAATGGCCGCTGATCAGCCCGGCCCGGCCCGGGCGCCTGGCGGCCCGGGCGCCTGGCGGCCCGGGCGCCCGCCAGCGGCCCTGAGGCCCTCACGGACTGCTCGGACTCAGGCCCCCGGCCCGATCATTTGTGCGGCCTTTACTCAAAGTTAAGTTAAAATCAGTAGTGTGACGAGGACAATCAGGCTGCCGCCAGAGTCGAGCCTAGTAAAAATCACCAGGCCAGTGAGTCGCACTGTCAGTGACGACAGGCGTCCGGGGGGCCCGTTTACTGATTACTTTCAAAATGTAACCGTTGAACCGTCACTGATCCCGCCAGGGCCCTGCCCGGCCAGTCACTGAGTGCCTGCATACAAAAAGCTGACGCGAGAGGGAATCGAACCCCCAACCTTTCGATCTGGAGTCGAACGCGCTACCATTGCGCCACCACGTCATGTCTACCCGTGGTCAAATTTAACATTATATATCAATTTTTGACCCACCCACCCAGATATTAATTTTAAATTATGTTAAATTAACATTATTTAGGAGTTATTAACCTTAAAATTTGCTCCCCTTTATAACCGATGGGCTGCCACCCCTGCTTTTGATAGTTTGTGGACCGGTGCTGGTACCTCGGCCTCTCCTTGACCTAGCACTGGGCAAGGGTAGATGAGGGCACTGGGGAGGAAGGAGGAGAAGAGGGGGGGAAGAGACGGGGATGAGGAGAGGAGGAGGAGAGGAGGAGACGGGGCGAGAGAAGAAGAGGATAGTAGAGGAACAGGGTTCGAAGGTGGAGGTGGATAGGCTGTATGAGGGAGAAAGGGGTAGGCACTTTGGGAGAAAAGGAAGAGGGGAGAGAAAGAAATAAGATGGAAAGTGAGGAGAGGGGAGGTATTGTTGTTTATAGAGAAGCAATGAGTGAGGCTGAGAGGGGTGGGGGGAACAGGGGACACGGTGAAAGCACGCGATTATGTGAATATATTACATGGTTGGCAAGCAAACTTAAGCACCATGCTCCTGCGGGATTTTCTGTGAGCTGACATGGGTCAGTTGCAGACAAGGGAGCATCTAACAAGCATGTCGCTGGGCTGTAGTAAGATTCTCTCTGCGCTGCTCGTCTGCACCTTCCTCGCGTCCACTGTGGACTCTTTCCAGTTGGGATCTCTCCGGCCTAGCCTCCGCCTGCCGTCGCCATCCAGATGCGCAGCCCGGCGAAGCACAAGTCTGCGCATGCAGCAGGACAACTTCTTCTCCAAATTTGCGAGGACGATCGTCGAAAAGGCCAAGGCGGATGTGGATCGCATCGACCGTCTGTTCCGAGGGCTGGAGAGCGTCAGGTCGGACATGTCAGTCATCGACGAGCTGCTGGCGTACTGGAACCTGGACGAGACCGATCAGACGCTGGAGAAGCTGGAGGAGGCGCTCATCATGCGAGACTTTGGCGTCTCCACCTCAGCCAAGATCTGCGAGGGGCTGATGACGTCAGTGAGAAATGGCTCGATCAAGAACTACAAGGAGATCCGCCAGGCCATGAAGGATACGATCGTGACGATCCTCGAGAGCGGGGGCAACCCGGCACTGATCCTCGACGACCAGAAGCCCGCGGTCGTCCTGATGGTGGGTGTGAACGGAGGGGGCAAGACGACGACAGTAGGGAAGATCGCTACGAAGCTTGCTGAGGAAGGGAAGACAGTCATGCTAGCGGCTGGTGATACCTTCCGTGCTGCCGCTGATCTTCAGCTGGAGGAGTGGGCAAAGCGATCTAATGCCATCCTTGCGCCTACGTCCAACCCCAAGAGCCCTGCCGCCGTCATGTACGATGCGATCGATGCGTCGGTGTCGCAGGAGGTGAGGACTGATGGGATGGAGAGGAGGAGAAAGAGGAAGAGGAGGAGAAAGAGGAAGAGGAGGAGAAAGAGGAAGAGGAGGAGAAAGAGGAAGAAGAGGAGGAGTCGATCATATGAAGAAGGGATGAGAGGAACAGAAACTATCATAAGAAGAGTTTTGCTGTGAGCTCACAATGCTCACAGGTGGATGTGCTGATTGCAGACACGAGCGGGAGGCTTCACACCAACACGAACCTGATGAAGGAGCTTGAGAAAGTGAGGGGCGTCTTCGAGAAGAAGATGCCAGGAAAGCCTAAGGAGGTACGAATGCTTCTCTGTGCCTTCCTTCCATCATGTCTGTCCGCAGATCCTCCTGGTAGTCGATGCAACCCAAGGGCAAAACGTTCTAAATCAGGTCAGGGAGACCCGTTCATCCTCCTCCCTTGCATTCTTCTGACAAAGAAGGACAGGCAAGAGGATTCAACAAGGCGGTGGGTGTGACAGGAATTGTTCTCACGAAGCTCGACGGGACCAGCAAAGGAGGAGTAAGCCCTCCGACAGCTCTCGGAGATTGTACTTTCTCACGCTCTGTTACCAGGTTGTCGTCTCTATTGTCGATGAGCTGAAGATTCCAGTCAAGGTAAAGATCCGACGTGCAGCCCCTGTTGCGTGTGCTGACATGTTTTCTTCTCTCATCCTTCATCTGCTTCTTGATAGCTCATCGGAGTGGGGGAGAAGGCCAAGGTAGGAAGAGCCTCTCTTCTGATCATCGCGCGCAGTGACTCACATCTCCCCTGCTCAACAGGATCTCATGCTTTTCGACGCCCGAGAGTATGTCGAGGCTTTATTTCCCAATTAGTGATACAAACCCTCATGCCTTCCCTTGTTGCTTGACCCGTGGCATCCTTGAGTGACTGACTGAGGGCTTTATGCCCTCCTCCTCCTCCTCCTCCTCCTCCTCCTCTTCCCGCTCCCTCAACTACTTCACGCTCCAATATATTCTCCTGGTTTACCTCCATCGTCTCCTGTCCTATAACCTCAGATTGCGTCCTGAGCGCGACAGGGCCATCTCCGAGAATCTCACACCGCAGTTCAACTCTCTCCTTGTCAGCCGGACTGAGATCTGTTTGTTCTTCCCCTGGACGAGATCGTTTGTCAGCTGAGGTAGCGATGGAGATGCCTATCACATCTTTCACTAGAGTGACTCTGACGTCGTCGCCTCCCTCTTCTATGATCGACATGATGCGCTGAAACCACAGCGATTCTTTCCCTTGGAAGCTGTCATCGTTTCCTAGCATCTCCTGCTTCTCGGTCAGAACAGGTCCATGACAGCAGCAAGGTGCCTTTTCCAGCTCCACCAGACTGGTCTCATTGATCGACGTCTGACAGACAGTGTCAAACCTCTCCAATGCAACTAGTGTAAGCTCACCAGGTACATGCCAACCTTGATCACCCCACTATCCTTGGCAGGACCTGTCATTGTCTGCGGTCAGCATGAGGCAAAGGGAAGAGGCAGGAGCAATCAACCTTCTGGTGCGACTGCTTCTATTCGCAGCCCCTGCTTCCTGAAGGTAGGCAACATTCACTTTGAGACTCCATATATGACTTCGTCATGAACATTACCCTTTCAGGCTGGCTTTCATGATCAGCCCGAGACACTTTCGCCTTGAGTAGACTTCTTCTCCTTCCTCTTCAAGTGACATGTCGAAAGTCGAGGAGTTGACCTCAATCTTCTCTTGCACGGACGGATTGCCATGCTCGCTTCTCTTCGAAAACATGAAACCAAGACTTGACTGCGGCGCGTTTCTGGGGCCGCTGCAGCTACACAACCAAGATCCTTCGAACCACTGCCTGAGCTCCGTGTTGTGCCTGAGCCTCTGAAACAATCCCGAAGTCGAAACCTCAGCTGGAGAACTTTGGCCGTCGGATATTCGCTCCATGAGCACAAGCACGTTCAGACTCATGCCATCTTCCAAGTGATCGAGACGGTCTCAACACTTGGGCTCATGAGGTTGTTGATTTGCATGTGGCAGCCATTCGTCCCAACTGTTGCGTCCTGCATGTCATTGGACAAGAATACCTCCTTGTATCACAAATCGCTGCTTCGTCCACACCTTGCCGCAAAACTTTTCACTCCCCTAGTGTAAATAGGAAATCAGGATCCAACATACAATGAAGTCAACACACGAAGATTGTTAACAATGCATTGCATCTTGTGGATCGGATTTCCAATCGACTATAACAAATCCAAAAATTGTTTTTCCTTCACCATTCAGAACAATAGAGTCCTTGCATTACAAGAAAATGGTTTTATCTTAGCACATGTACGCAGATTCGGTAACGAAATCAAATCAGCAAATACAATGGACCCCAAAGAGAAGAAAATGTCTCCCCCAAGAACATTTTATACTGTTCCTCTCCAATGCTTAGCCTCTAGTCTGCTTTACTATCCTGGTTACAACACACCCTCCTGACTGCCTTCTTTCCAAATCCCCTGACTTCCTTCATTTGGTGAATCCGCCATCAGATTTCCCTCTGTTGCTCTTCACGTCTCCTCGTCTCCTATCCAATATTCTCCTCACCTTTCCTCCTCCTCCTCCTCCTCCTCAGCTCCCCTCTCCTCCCCCGCCACCTGCATACTACATGCGCATCCTCTCATTCGAGTAACCCGCCGGCACTACTCTAAAAAGTTCACCCGACGCTCACAGGCTCCGACCACCCTACCCCTACCCCCTGGTATCGAAATGAATTTTTTTCCGTACCCCACCCATGGAGTCCCCTGCCTGTTCGGTCAACTTTTGTACCCACCCAATGGCACCCACAACCCTCAAGTACCCCCTTCTCTCATGGCCATCCCACTCCCCAGGGCCGTCAGTCTCTCTATCAGTCACATCCGACTTGCTACCCCCACCCCCCTGAGGCCCTCACGTTCTAAAATTGGCAAATAATTTTCAATCATCAACTACGGGGTCCTCTTAGAAGGCACCAGAGGGAGAGGGGAGGGTAGGGGTCACCGGTTACGGTACTACTGAGTAAAGAGGACCAGACTGACGGGGGTCACCGGGTTGACCGAGCTGAGCCGCTGAGATCCGGCGCTGGTGAATTCACGGCCCCAACTATTGGCCGTGACCCACCCCCTATTTCCCTCTCTGTCTCAGTAGTGAAGACCAGGGCCTGGGGGTACCGGTGCTTCGGGAGTTCGCAAATCGTCATTCCGGGACCCAACTGAACCGAACTGAGTACTAAACAAAGGCCGCCGGGCGAAACCGTCGGGGCCGGGGCCGGGGGCCGAGCCCGGCCGCTCAGTGATCGGACTCGGAGACTCACTGTGACTACTGGGTCAAGGGCCGACCGTACTACTCCGGGACTGAGGGCTGCCAGCGGAGGCTCGGCTCATGATTTTTAAGTTAAAGTTTGGGTAAATGCCTCCGGCCCGGGCGCCGCGGGGCGCCCGGGCGCCGCCCCGCGGCGCCGACGCACGTGTGACTGGCAGGCTCAATGCGTCATTACTAGTTCAATCATAGTACAGTACGTCCGATCCGGGACGGTCGGACGGTCGGACCCCGCGCACCGTACCGTACGGTCACCGGCAGCAGCGGCAGTGACGGTGGCACGGTAAGTCACCAGGTCCGGCGACTCGGACGTACCGTACTCGGAAGCCTGTATCAGTGGGCCTGAAGCCTGACCGTCACGGTGGGGGGGCCCGGGGCTGACCACTGAGCGCCGGGCGGCGTCGCCGCGGACTCCGGGAGGCGGGCCGTTCCCGGCGCCGGCCCGGCGCCGGCCGCCGGCCCGCCGGGGCGGCCGGGGCCCGTGCCGCGTGTGCAACTCACTGCGAGCCTCACTGCGGCCGGTGGCCAGTGGCCCGGCCGCGAGCATTCGAAACGGTGAAGTCCCGGGCGGGGCGCGCCGGTAGGGCGCGCCGCGCCGGGGACCGCCACTGCTGCCGGGTGCCACCGTGACGGCCGTTCGGTCACAGTGGCGGCGAACCGTTCAGTGACTTGAACCCGTTGCCGTACTGCCGTACCGGCGACCGTACGGCCCCCCGCGTACGACCGTGTCATTATGATCCGAGCGGCATAACACGGTCATTGATCCGTCTCACGGTCATTGCCGCGGACCCGGTGAAAGTTTCGGCCGCTGATCACTGAGCGGCTTCAGTTACTACCCGGCCCGCCATGCTAGTCACCGTCGGTGAGTCCCGGAGTCCGGCGGCGAATGATCTGACTGGCAATCTATTGTATACTGATTCAAGTTATATCACAGGCTCGGAACCGTTCATCAAAGGCAGCTCGCTGCGATAGCAGCCGCGCGGCAGGGCGGCGCCGTCCCGAGCCTCTGACCCGGCGTTCCTCACCCCGCATGGCGCCCCGGCGGCCGCCGGCCGCCCCGCGTTGTCAAGTTTGATTGCCACAAACGGTGACACAGGCTCGGATCAGCAGGCCCCGGCGCGGCGTCTGGCCCGGCCGCCTGCCGGGCGGCACCCGGTGACCCGGTGACCCGGCGGCGGGTCACCCCGGTTCAAGTTTCGCCGGTTGAAGGGCCGTGCCAACTTGATCGGACAGTGACCGTTGCAGCTTCGAAGTCACAACGGGCCAAGTGCCTCACGGAGGCTCGCACTGCCACGGTCAGCTGGCCGCCGCCCGGCGGCTAGCCGCAATGATACACACCGTCGGTGGCCTCCCAGCGGCGATTGGACCCGGCGGCCCGGCGGCGGCGGCACGCTCCGACGACTGCGAACCCGGTTGAACTTGTGACTGGCGTCGACGTCCGATCGGGCGGCATCATGGGCCTCGGAGCACAGGGGCTGAGGTCGGGAGGACGCAGGCCGCCCGCCCGCGCACGGAGTGCGGCCCTGAGCTTACTGTGACTCTCAGCTCAGCCTGCCCGGCTTTCCCACTCAGTTCCGGGATCAGGGGGGCTCCGACCTCATGATTCGACGCTCCGGCGGCGGTTAGTGCGGTCCGATCCTTCGAGTCCGGGCCCTCGGGGGCTCAGTAACCTCGCTCGACATCGACCCGGCACGGCATCGCTCTGACATCGCTTCTATCCGCCGCTAGGTTGAGAGCCTCTGCGATGGCCGACAGACGAGCAGACTCCGTCTCCTCCAGGCCGACGGCTCCTCCTCTGCGATGACATACATTTCAGTTTGATCGTGGGAGGGTGGGAGGCGCTGGATGGATAGGACTCCAGGGAGGGAGTGGAGAAGGGAGAGCACAAGGGTGAGCTGAAGAAGGGACTGGAAGGAGGAGCTTGATGGAGGGGAAATGAGTTCGAGAGGGGATGAGAAGGGATCTGAGAAGGGGAGACGAGGAGAGACGGGCGGCACGCTGAGACGTACCTATGAGGGGACATCACAAGGTTGGTCAGCTTTGAAAAGTCGTTCCTCGTTGATACTGGCGTGCTTTGAGTGTCCTTGCTCGTTGCGGGATAGTTGTACCTGCACGCCATGACTGTAAGGAGCCGAGACAAGACCGGGCGGAGACCGGGGGGGGGGGGGGGGGCATAGTCAGAGGAAAACGAGGACGTAGGTGCAGGCAATGGATGAGGGTGAAGTGTTGAAGGAGCAAGGAGGCAACCATGTATCAATCCCCGCAGCAAAGAGATTTTCTCGCTGGCTGAGGGCCTCAAAAAGCGCATCCTCGTCCACAACTTCTCCTCTGAAGGAAACGTCGCCAACCGATTCAGCCGAGAGCATGAGCATGCAGGAGAGGGGCATGCAGGGAGGAGAAGCACCTGGACACGTTCACAAGGACGGAGCCCTTGGGGAGCCTGCGAGGGTCGTCAAAGAGGAGAAACCAGGGGAGGTAGCAGCCACATTGCCAGCTCCTTCCTCCCGAGCATCTTGGAGGTGCCGGAGGTCAGCGGGACGCAGAGGAAGACAACGTTGGCTCTCGGCAGGAGGGAGAGGAGATCAGCTGGAGGGTGGACGACCGCGTGCTTGTCACGTGCGACTCTGCTCAACGATGCTCTCGTTGCCAACACCTCCATCCCGAAGGCCGACATGATTCTTGCCACTCGCTGACCGACCTCTCCGTATCCCACCACCAGCGCTACCTTGCCTTGGAGGAGCAGCATCGGGAGAGGGTCGGGCACTCCCTCACAGGGGATCCCTCTGGACGACCAGTCGTGCTGCCTTAGCTTCCTGGCAGGTTGCACGTCATCCATGGCTCGGAAACAAGAGACGAACCGGTCCGCCTCGAAGATCTGCTTGCTGGCCGCCAGGCAAAGTGCGACCGCCAGTTCCGCCGTCATGGGCGCGTTGTGGTGGAGGTTGCAAACGACAAGCTTGCTGGACATCCCGAGCTCCTTGAGGAGGAGGCGGGTTGGAGGAGGAAACCCTTCAGTTACCCTTAGCTTGCAGATCACCTGCTCCCACTCAAACCTGCAAAGGGTACGAGCAGTGCTCGAATGGAGTCCTTGACTTGGAGCAGTTGATCTGCTCAGTCCATTCCTCAATCATCGTCGTCGTCGTCATCGTCACCGGGCCTCCCCCCTTCCCCCTCCTCCTCCCTTCCCCCCCCCCCCCCTTCCTCCTCATCGTATTATTACCACCACCATCTCCATCGTCATCGTCATCACAGCATCAGACCTCGAGTAGGGAAGGCAGCCACCAGCACGTCAACCGCGTTCCTCGGCAGATCCTCTCCGCTCGTGACGAGGACGTCTGTGCGGCAGCAGGTCAGGACCCGAGACCTCACATCACTACCTCACCCGACGAAAGCTTGCGACAGATCGCATGCAAGTGTTGATCCGTCGGCGTCCATCCGACCATGGACTTCCCTCCCTTGGTAACTCACATCTCATCTACACGGAAGAGCATAGCTAGTTCCCCTCACATGCCCCTTCTTCAAGAAGTGCACCCGCAGCTTCCTCCTCCTCCCTCGAGCAAGCGACCGTCCCACCCACCACGAGAGCACGATGCTCGAGGCCGCTAGCAGGAACCATCTCATGCTTGCCAAGCAACGTTCTCTCCTGGACAAGGATCATGCTCCGACCCCAACATACTCCAGCCATCAAATCGAGTCGTTCAGCTCACCAATAATTACACGCAAGTCTATCTGCCCAGGAATTTCAGAATTGGTATGCAAGATGAGCTTGTAGAGAGTTAGGGGAGCAAAATTGCGATCCTACTCCATCCCTCGCTCCCTCTCTCGCTTGCTCCCTCCCTCCCTCTCTCGCCCCCTCGCCCCCTCTCTCTCTCCCTCGCTCCCTCTCTCGCTCTCTCGCTCGCTCTCTCTCTCCCTCGCTCTCTCTCTCGCTCGCTCCCTCGCTCCCTCGCTCCCTCGCTCTGCCCACCGCTCCCATGGTCGTTCCGGGACAAACATTTCCGGGCCTGCCCAGCCAGAGGGCTACAGCCGGTTTCTTCTATTTCTCCCAGCGGCGGTTCCTTACAAGGCGGAGCGGCTGGGATGCAGAGGTTTTGAGCATGGAGGAGCTACGGGGAACGGCAGAGAACGTGGAGAGAGCGGTAGGGGAGGCGCTGACAGCAAGGAGCATCGCCATCGACTACTACAGGCACGGGGGACCTCCCGACCTCTGTTGCCTGGAGAAGCAGTACCAAAGAGCATGGCTGCCCACCGACGTGGCGCCGCTACCCCCCCAGGGGTACTATCACTGGGTGGTGGGGGCAGACTGCTCCTGCCCGGCTGCAGTCTCGACCTACTTCGACATGCTGGCGAGGAACCTGACGATGCCGCCATGGTGAGAACCGTCGGTGTGGAGGTGCAGGGGAGAGTATGGGAGGCTCTTTGATGGCTCTTGACCTCTCCATGCCCGATGCAATGGGTCCTCCCTCGTTTCCCTCCTGCTCTGCTCTGCTCTGCTCTGCTCTGCTCTGCTCTGCTCTGCTCTGCTCTGCTCTGCTCTGCTCTGCTCTGCTCTGCTCTGCTCTGCTCTGTCCTGTCCTGTCCTGTCCTGCCCTGCTTCAGCCTGACCATTCCGTCCAGGTACGCCAGCGGCAGCTATAATGTCACAAAGGCTACCTTCTGCATGTACAACCCATTTCGCAGAGTGGATGTGCGGTGTGAAGCTACCTTCCCTGGGAAAGTTCGGACCTTCTACGTGGACGGCAAGGGCGACGTGAAGGAGCCAGTGGACGACGAGATCTGGGAAGAAGCCTTCCTGGGGTCGTGTCTCCGGTCGATCCACCGGGCTCCCAACCTGCCGTGCATCAAAGTTCTCGCTCCCATGTCGTTGACGATCGAGAAGAAGTTCATCCAGCTCGCCTCGAAGCACTTCTGGAAGAGCAACGTCCTCGGCAACTCCACTGAACACCCTCAGCACGACTTTGCCTACAACTGGATGTCAGTGACTATGTCTGACTTCTTCCGTGAGAACCAACGCCCCGAGGCTGCCGTTGACTTCTTCCTCCCGCTCGCTGCCCGCGAGCCTGCTCTGGCAGTTCATGTGTCGGACGCCTTCCTGAGACTCCAGGACGCGGCGCGTGCTCATGCTCTGCTGGACGACTCGATCACTGCCTCGGGCAAGCAGTTTGTGCTCCTCCTCAAGAAGTGTGAGGTCCTCCTGGCCGAGGGCAAGATCACCAAGGCGATCGCAGTGGGGGAGGAGGCCGTGGTGGAGTCAGGAGGAGACGTGTCTGGCTGGCTGCTGCTGGCAGAAGCTTACTTCAAGCTCAAGGCCGTGGACATGTCGCTGGTCATGCTGAACGAGGCCCCGATCAAGCCCTACAAGCCCTTTCCTCAGATCGGCATCCCCAAGATGAACGTGAGGACCAAGGCCTGGGTGCCGAGCAACCCCAACATGCTGCTGATCAGCCGCATGCCGGGAGACATCGACGAGTACGGCGACGAGTTCGATGACTTCCTCCAAGTTCACCATCCCAAACCCGAGCCGCTTCCTGGAGAGCTGTTCGAAGGATACTGGAAGAGAGCGTTCGACCTGTTGGTGGACATCATGAACTCTATCGGATGGGATGAGCTGCTCGAGGCGAGGGCGAGAGTGTTCCTCATGAAGGAAGACGTCGACAAGAACGCTGACCGATCCACACACAAGGACGTGCAATCAAAGGCTGACAAGAGGCCCAAGGATGGTGGCAGGAGCCCCGCTGCAGCCAACGGCAAGGTTGCCGAAGAGATCCAGCCAGAGCAGGTGAGAGTCGAGCGACATCGTTTGGCTTTGTTGACGCGTGTGGTGCAGGGCGAAGCCGGAGCTCCAGGGTTGGACGGCAACGAAAAAAGTCAGCCGAAGGAGGAGCGAGAGGCGGCTGGTGGAGAAGGAGAGACGAAGGAAGTCTCTGAACAGGCTGAGGCTGCGGGCGAAAGCCCAGCAGGGAAGGAGTCAGAGGAAGGAGGTCAAACAGGGGAGGAGGGAGAGGGCGGAGAGGACAAGGGACAAGCCGGAGCTCCCGTAGCGGTGACGGGAGGGAACTTTGGAGGAGAAGCAGACGAGAAGGCAGCAGTAGGAGCGGAGAACGGAGAGGATGGAGCAGCAGCAGCGGCGGCATCGTCAGAAGGTGGTGACAAGGTTGTCGGGCAAGCAAGCAAGCAAGTTGCTTCCCCCACAGCAGGAAAGCAGGTGAGACCCTCTCCTCTCCTCTCCTCTCCTTTCCCTCATCCTTCCTCAGGCTGCATCCTCTTTGCCCGTCAATGGCTCCTCGTGTGCCGAAGGCAACGAGGTGGAGGGGGAGAAGCTGAAGAGCGCAGCAGCTGGTCAAGGCTCGAGGAAGAGAGTCTGCCGTCCCTGGCTTGACACAGTCTTCCATGCGGTCTACGAAGACCTCAAGGTCCTGCCGCTTCCTCTTCCTTTTCTTCTTCTTCTTCTGCTGCTGCTTTGCCTTCTTTCTTCCTCGTTGCCTTCGACCCTGCTGCTCCTCCCTAGCCTGACAGCCCTTGTCTTGCTCCTCTGCTTCTGACGCTCCTTCAGGCCTACTACGCGTGGCTCTCCGAGGAAGAGAAATTTGCCAACATGAATCCCGAAAGCATGACAGAGGAGGTGGAACCTCCTCCTCCTCCCTCCTCCTGCTCCCCCCAACTTCTCTCCTTCCCTCCACTGTCTTCCCCCCCTCCGAAAACAACACTTCTGCCCTCCTCCTCCTCACCCCCTCCTCTCTTGCTCTCCTTCTCTCGCCCTCCCTCGCCCTCCCTCGCCCTCCCTGTTCCTCACACAGCCAGCAGGACATCGAGGATCAGGAGGTCTCTTTCGACGAATGGATGCACCGGGGTGCCATAGCCCGCAGGCTGCAGAACCTCTCGGAAGCCGAGCGAGCGCTGCGAGCGGCCGCTGCCATGTCCAACAGCGCGATAGCATGGGATCAGCTGATGCAGATGTACGCCGAGGAAGGATGTCTCAAGGAGACGCTGGTGGCTGCCCACGAGTTCATCGACTGCTACGACATCTACGGCGCCTCTCCCGTCCCTCCTGCTCCTGTTCAAGTCAGGAGGGCCATCTTTCTCCTCGTTAGCACCCACGGGCTGCAGAAGGTGAGGGACGCGCAGGACAGCATCGGGGTGGCTCATCCAGTAATCAACGACTTGTTCCACTTCATCGTTCGCTCCCGCGTCCATGGGTTCGCCAACTGACCTCGCCACGAGCTCGTGGTCTCCTCTATGTGACGAAGTGAGTGAAAGTCAACTCCACCTCCTAGCTGCTCCTGCCTTCCTCCTTCAGAGTGCCTGCTCTGACCCTCTTCTCCACCACTCTCGTCTCGTCTCGTCTCCACCTCCCTCCTCACCTCTTCATCCATCGATCTTCTGCAAGTCGAGGGCCCTTAGGTAAGAAACGATCCAGTACGAGCCGAGGTACCTACAACAACAGTCAGACATTGTCGCCTCCTCCTCCCAGCCATCTCATCGGCCAATCGTGTCTAGCGCCCCCATCCTACTTCATTCGTCTCAGTTCTCCTCTACCCCTCTCCTTCCACATGTCACCAGCTCATCTTCTGCTTCCTCTGCTCCTCTACTTCCTCTCGAGCTCCTTTACTTACGTGTTTGCCGTCCGAACAAGCGTCGAGCCTGCCGATCGCAGAGCGATCTGCTCGGATGTGAGGTAGAGGACGAGAGGGGCAGCAACAGGGCACAGAGATGGTCAAGGCAAGAGGAGGAGGAAAGGATGGTACCTGCTTGGCGAACAAGACGTCGAACATTCTTGCCTCGAAGACTCCAGCAACTACCTGCTTCCTTCTTCAACCCTCGTCCTCAGTCTCCTCCCCCCACCTGGTATCTCCAGTTCGTCGACACTGCCACGTACGCGCCAATGGCCACGGAGATCTGCTGGCCCCTCAGCTCCTCCTCCCTTCTCCCCACCGTCAACCTTGGCAATGGCATCGGGAGGAAGCGAAGCCCCTGCAGCCGCAAACTCAGCTGCCCTCCAGCTGAAGTCACCTGCCCTTACCTCCGGTCGAGCTGGGATCGAGCCACTTCCTGAGAGCAACCGAGGCTGCCGTGTAGGCGTATCCTCCGGCTGCTGCGATGAATCCGACAACGAACAACTAGAGGAGCGGAACAGGCTCAGCTAAGAGGTGAGACACAGCTCAAACTCTCTTCGCCCTCTTGCCCATCATCCCGCTCCTTCTCACCTGTGGCATCGGCTTGAAGAGAGCTCCAACACGCTTCGGCAAAGTCAACCCTTTCCATGAAGCAGCAGCAGCAGCAGCAGCACACCTGAGCAAGGGCAGGCGGCGTCTGGCCCTTCAACACCATCTGGAATGCGTTGTCGGGACAGCTACTGAACCACTTGCCTGCACCCACACTCAAAAGACTGTTAATCCCCCCCCCCCCCCCCCCCAATTAACCGCCTTGTGTGACATTCATTCTTCTGTCCTTCATAGACAATAGAGAGAGATATTTCCATTGAGGCGGACCCATTCCATGCTCGTACAAGGCCTATCGGGCAAACATGTCCCGCAGGTGCGCATGGCGGGTTGAGAGGAGGCGGCTCTTCACTCCTGCAAGGGAGTACTCCCTCAAGCTCAAGTGTGGAAGGACTCTTGGCATCAGCGAGTGGGGGGATCCCTCTAGCGCCTGCAAGACCGTCGTCTATCACCATGGTCTTCCGTTTGGCAGACTCGAGCCGTCCATTTATCTTTCGAACGCGCATGCTCATGAAGCC